GTTTTTTTTCTCCTGTGTGTGTCAACTTATCCTAGTTGATCGATTTGTGGTTTGTTTTCTTGGACAGGGTGGGCCGTGGCAAGCTCGATAGAGACACAGTGACAGGCACACGGATGGGAAAAAAAAAAAAGAAAATAGAAAAAGAAAAAATCTAAACTTGTTCCAAAGTGGTTGCCAAATCTTCTTCCCTTGCAATGGTTTTTGCTTTTGGAGGTCCGTGACTGGTGAGCTTTCCTCTCCTCTTCCTTTCTCTTTTATGTTGGATTTGATACGATTGGCTTCTCTTTGCCAAGGTCGGGTGGCCAGTGACAGCGCAAAATTACTAGACGAACTTTGGGATGGGGAAAAGGAGAAGGAAAAGAGCGTGAAGGAATCGAAAGGATGGAACTATGGCAGAAAACTAAAGGTAAGTTAAGTTTGCTTCTTCCATTGACTATAGCTTTCTCTCACGCGTGTGCTCTACAGGGAGAAAAAATGAATACCAAAAAGCAAAACGAGAGGAAAAAACTGTTTTTGGGGACCCAGCTCATTGACCTCTTACAAACAGGCAAGTGAGGTATTTATATGTGTATTTCCGATTTTTTTCTGGTGTTTTTTTACTGAGCTTGGGGACATATACACCCCCCACTTTGGCTTCTTTTCTAAAAAAGGGCATCACATCACAGCACACGCACACACACAAGCATTCTCCATCCATCGCCTTTCTCCTTCTTGAATGTCACCAAACTGGTGTAAGTTGTGGGAGGCGAAGATCTTGCCTGGTGATTCCAAAAGCTTGTAGCGCCAGTCCCTCGCTCGAATTTGGATTGCTCTATCCGGGAAATCCTTTGTCCTTGGAGCCAAGGCGGGAGATCACACAAGCTTCAAAGGGTAAGAACTCATTGTCTCATTTCTCACTCCATACACAATCTTTCTTCGTTTTTTCTCTTTTTTCCTTGTTGTGCTTCGTCCAGGAGCGGCAGGGAGAGGAATTCAAGCTTGCAAGCTCCGAGATCTACCATGGAAGATAAAGTGGACCGGGAATGCAGTATGTGTGGCGATATTGGATTCTCGTCGGAGCTGTTCCAGTGCAAGGAATGCAACTTTAGATGGCAGCACAGGTATTCCTCCATTATTCTGCTTTGGTCATTCGATTCCAGTGACAAGATTTCTCGCAACTCACACCAAACTTGCCTTGTGTTTCCCGTCCAGCTACTGCAGCAGACTTTATCCCAACATGGAGAGTGGCAATTGGGGAGAGTGGCCGGTGTGCGACTGGTGCTTTGGAGCTCTCGGGGTAAAAGCAACACTCAAGCCAAAGCGGAGTGCCAGCATCAAGCTGAGAAGAAGCTCCAGCTCCAACTACGAAGAACAGGTGTACCAGGCACAAAAAGGATCCAAGGATGAGAACCACCATCGCTGGGATGCTCTCGATTATCTCCTGGAGGTGGCACACATGAGCTCCTTGTCTGATGGAGAGACGAGTATGAAGAGGCAGGCGTGCAGCAGCAAGAGAACTTGTGCCAGGAAATTAAGCTCTGCCTCTTCTTCTCCCAGCAGCAGCTTCAAGCGCCCCCAACAAAAGTGGGGATTTTTGAGCGAAAGGATCAAACTCGACAGCTCCAAGTTATCTCCTTCCAGCTCCAAGCCAAGTTCTCCCAAGCCGGTTTGTAATCGCAGATACAAGTTTCTATCAGATGTGTGACTAGCTTCTATCAGATCGAGGAGGGGACAGAAAAAAAAACCACAAGATTTCGCGAAGGTGGTGTTTCTGGGATCAGAGATGAAAAGCTTGCATGAGCTTGTGGGTTCTTACATAAAGATAATACTATGAAGAAGCGAGCTCGGACTTTGATGCTAAAGATCTTTGTTGGTGTGTTGGGTCTACTGGCTTACGTAAACATCTGCACAATCAATTCAATCAGGCTTGCCAGGAGCATCATATCCATTGTTTCCAAAGGGCAAGTTTGACATGGTTTTAGCACATAATGGGGGAAATTTTCTCCGCTGCTTTGTCTGACACCTTGCTAAAAGGAAAATAAAAAATCTACATCTTTTTAGTAATATACGAGCAATATCCATATCTTATGGTTCTTGCTTGCGTGAACCATTTGTGTTAAGCAACAGCTACATTGGATATAAAGTGTACGATATTTTTTAAATTTTTTTTATGGGTGGGGTGGCGTACAACACTGAAAGGAAATCCAAAAGAGTGGATCATATCATTTAGTTGGCTGGCTTCGCAATACTTTGGTAATCAAAAGAAAATGTTTGGTCTCTGAATTTTCTTTACATTTTATACTGTTATACTTTTTCATTTTTCAATTATTAATATGCTCCTTGGATTCTCGACGAATGTGGACGAGAGACGGCTGATTTGCCAAAGCTGGAAAGCTTCCTTACATCAGTGGTGTTTATCTTTGTTCCTCTGTAATAGAGCAACTTGGGCATGGGGAATCTCCTGCAGATTCAAGGTGAGTCCACCACAATCCAAAACTCATCCATTGTGCCAGTCAAGCTTCTTGCTGCGAAACGCGTTTGGAACTCGCTTCTCATCGAGATTGATCTCAAACCGGGCAAGAATGTGAGCGTTCATCGCGGCTATGGACCTCTCGAGCTGGTAGTAATCTCGACTGGATCGAATGAAAAATCTAGAAAGCTATTGAGGAGCTCGCCTCCTCTCGTGATAGAGCTAGAAGATCTAAGAAAGAGCAAAAACATTGCAATCACCGGCAAGAAAAATCACCTCCGCTTAAAGATGGAGCGAAGAACCAAGTACAAATATATAATCTAGTCAACGCTATTCTAGTCAAAGTATTTACCAAATTCTAGTCAAACGCTATGAATGCTTTCCAGGAATCTTGGAAGGAGGGGTGGCGCCGTAGCGAGGGATTTGGCCGAGAGGTTGGGGCCCGAGAGCAGCAGGGACGAACTCGTGCTCGCTCTAAACCATTGCGCGTCCGCGGGGGATCTCGAGCAGGGCAGACAAATCCACGCCAAGATCACGCAGCGCCGCCTGCGATCCAGCTCCTTCCTCACCAATCACTTGATCAAAATGTATGGCGACTGCGGCGACGCCACATCCGCGCTCGCAGTCTTCGCGCGCCTCAAGCGGAGGAACGTTTTCTCGTGGAATCTGGCGATCGCGGCGTGTGGCGGCGAGGATCTCTCCATGGGGCTTTACCGATCGATGCTCCTCGAGGGCCAATTGCCGGACAACATCACCTTCGTCAATCTTATAGCCGGACGCAGTAGATCGCTGAAAGAGGGCAAAGCCATCCATGAGCACGCGGTTGAGAGTGGATCGATCGCGGACGTGGTAGTGGCTACGGCGATGGTGAGTCTCTATGGGCGATTGGATCAAATTGCTGAGGCAAAGAAACTCTTTGATGCAATGCCGGAGAAGAACCAAGTTTCCTGGACCGCGATGATCACAGCATATGCCCGGAACGGGTATCGCAGCGAAGAATCGATCGAGCTCTACTTCCAGATGACCAGGATTCACGCGCTTGATCCCGATCGCGTGACTTTCATTGCGCTCCTCGAATCTTGCACGTCGGGATCGCTGGCGCTGCGCGATGGAGCAATGATCGAGCAAGAGATCGTCGCTCGTGGCCTTGACGGCGAACCCTCCATAGCCGTCGCGCTCGTCACAATGTTTGCTCGATGCGGAGGCATTGACAGCGCGAGGATAGCCTTTGATCGAGCTTGCCATCGCAAGAACATTGGCTTCGCGGCGTGGACGGCTATGGTAGCCGCATATGCCCAGCACGGGCATCTGGAGCTAGCGGTGGAGATTCACCGTCTCATGGCGCTCGACGGCCAGGATTGCGATTCCGTCACCTTTGTCAATCTCCTGTTTGCTTGCAGCCACGCCGGGAGGCTCCACGACGCTTGGAATTGCTTTGCATCGATGAGTGGAGATTTCTGGGTGGAATCTGTGCTGGATCACTACGTTTGCGTGGTGGATCTCCTTGGGCGATTAGGGAAGCTGGAAGAGGCTGAGGATCTAGCGACCAACATGCCATTCGAGCCTGTGGAATCGGTGTGGATGAGCTTCTTATCCGCGATTCTATGTTCTCTTGAATAGCAAGCATATTCATGCATTTCTCAACCCTTTTATTCTATATTTTGCGATCCTACGAAAACTTAGGTCAAGCGAAGCATGGTAAAGTCAAAGAGAAAGAGTCAGACGAAGCAAAGGAAGCAAAGCTATGGCAAAAACGACGTAGTAATGTGCCCATTCGACGCTGATCACGTAAGAAGATTCGAGTTAGATACCGAGTACGAGCCGAGAGGTTTGCCACCAGGTGTGTACCCATGCCCTAGGTGTGGATCTTACAAGACTCGCTTCGATCACTATAACAACCGAGATGGCGGGAACTTCAAGTATGGAAACAAAAAATCACCAATGTTCGCGTGTAAAAATGGCTGCGGCAAAAGGTTTAAGGTAACTAATCGCTACTGGGAGAAGTATGGGCCAGATGGGAAACCCACTCAAACGTCGGAAAATGGTGGTGAAGACCTGGTTGGCACAAGTTTGCCACAAATTGGAATGGTGTTGGAAAATGGTGGCGACGACTTTAGTTTGCCACAAATCGGAATCGATGACACTGCTGTTTGTGTGAGCAACACCCAATTTACACAAACTAGCATGGAGATCGACGCTGACAATGGTGACAATGGTCGTTGCATGGAAGGGACTGTAAGTTACGACGTGGAGGAGATTGATCAAGGAACAAGCGACATGCAGGAGATCACGAAAGATGACATGGAGGAGATTGATCAAGGAGCAAGCACGAAAGATGGCGAAGAGGGTTATACGTCTGTGAATGACAGTCCGATTGATTGGGATGTTGCTGGGTTTGTGAGGAAGATGCAAGAAACTTACGAGGAATACGTGAATTCTGGAGAGCTTGATCCTTGCGAGGAGCTTCTCATGCCAAAGTCTTGTAATTCCCCCGAGGTGGTCCAGATCTTCACGGGGGCCTCTGGCCATCGGGTGTTTTGTGCAATGTAAAGGAGTGTAAATTCTTGCGAAAATTAGCATTGAAAGCTAGAGAAAAGAGACTCTTAAGCTCCAGAACTTCCAGCAGTTCTAAGCCCAATAGTCCGTAATCTATATCTATACTGAGGAGCTTCTTCTTCATCCTCGTCACTCTGATCGTCATCGCCAATGTTGTTCCACTTGGAGTAGTCTATGGTGGAGTGTGCTTTGGGCTTTGAAACAGCAACGCAGCCACTTTTCTTGTTCTCAGCCTCTTCAAGTTCCTTGTGTTGTTCATTTGGAAGAACAGTGGTCGGCGAGAAGGAATGCAAGGCTTCCGCCGCTGGCGACGATGGACACTCCTCCTCGCATTCTGGAATGGGAGCGAGCGTCTGTTCGTGAAAAATCATAAACTCGTCACAAAAAAACTGGATGAAAGGCTAAAGATCTCTCTCTTTTCCCCCTATTTCTTGCGTACCATTTGTGTTCTTAAGCGGGCCTCCAGTTCCCTATACGCAGGAACTTTTGGATTGATCTCGAGAAGCCTGGTTACATCGAACAGTGCCGATTGGTACTCTTTCAAAGCAATTAGTGTTTGAGCTCGCAGCATCAAAACACTTGTGTGGTTGCAGTCCATTGCCAACACTGCTCCACATTCTTCAGCTGCCTGTATAGCAAAAAAACATAGAAAGACAAGAAAAAGAAAAAGAAAAAAAAAAGAAAAAAAAGAGGGAGACTTTAGAACTTACCTCTCTGAATCGGTGGAGCTTCAAATAACATGCAGCTCTATTGCTATAGAGAGCAATCTTGTGAGTAAATGATGTTGTTGATTCTAGCATAGCTGTGTAAAGCTCAAGGGCTTCATCAAATCGTCCATCCCTATACCTTTGATGAGCTGATTCAATCGTTTCCATGGCTGTGGCAGTAGTGGCAGCAACCACCTGCCACAACCAATCAATCGATCGATCCCAAGAGGAAGATCTGCCAAAACCCTAGACAAGAACACCAAACATTGCTCCCAATTTGAATGCTTCACCTGGGCGGGATAAAATAATAATTCTATTATTATTATTACAAACAAACGATGCCCTCTCACAGCCGTCGATCCTGGGCTCGTCGAGCCGTCAGATTCCCGCCTGGAATGACCAGTTGACGAACATGAGAGCCAAGTGCTGCTCGTCCACTCTCCACACTAGTCCACGCTCGTAGCACACTCTTTTTCCCTTGCTCGTTTGAGCGATTCCCTCTGGAAGCTCGCCATTTTCCTGTAAGAACATCAAGTTTGATGATGGTTAGCTAGAAGCTTGATAGAACGGTAGAAGCTTACCTCCCGGAGTAGTTTTGCTAGCTCGCTGTCGAGACCATAGCCGATAGTCCTCTCCCAGGATACTGTTTGAAGCTCTTCGATTTTGGTTTCCAGCATTTGTAGGCCAGCTTGGTTGGCGATCACAAATTCTGGTGTAGCCTGTGATTGATAGAATGGACAACCTTAAGAGTGGAAACTTTTCCAAGGGAAAGAAGAACTTGCCTTTAGAGAGCAGCATATAATCGCTGCGGCGTAGTGCCAGAAGAGCATCACGATAGCGTCCTTGTCAGTGAAGTTGCGAGGTATGATATCGACTCCATGACTGACACTGCATCAACAAACTATATAGGTGTCTCTTCAGCTATGAGAAAAAGATAGAACTTATCGAGAAACAGCAAGGTACGATCATAGTACCTGTAGCTTTGTAGAATCTGATGGATGAGCGAAGCTCCTTTGGATGACACGAAGGGAGCGTCAGCCGAGGAAGATCCGAGAGATGACGCAGCGAGCGAGAGAGTGATGCGTTGGACAAAGTCCATAACGTTTCGGATGTAATTGCGGGCCATCTCTGCGACGGTGTCACGAGTTCCAACCTCGTACATGAACTGGAATGCGATGGTTAGGATGGAGCGGGCGAACTTGTGGTTCTTTCGCTTGCCGCTTCTCAACTCTTCGGAATCGGATTGACGCTTGACAATGTCGTCCTGCACACTTCTTTCGTGAAAACAAGAAATGAGTTAAATGAGCTTGGACTTACCATGTCATCGCAAAGAGGAAGGACACGGAATCCTGACGACAGAAGCGGCATATCATCGGAAAGATTGGCATCGACTGGAGCAAAGATGAGTTGCGAGCAACCATCGATGTCTTCGTCTTCAATTCCACTACATAACTTTGGATAGAGAAACATAACTGTGTGAGGAGTAGTAACAAACATACTGAAAAATACCTGTAGCAGATAAATTTCCCTGGAAAGTATTGTTCCATCTTCTGCGGAATAATGTCCTTCCAAAATCACTGCCTCCAAAAACTAAAAGAGTTTCCACTCAACTTGATAGTACTAAAGAATAGTGGGCAAGTAGCTTACATCTTCCTTTGCTGTGTGAAAAAGTGGAACGTGTGCTTGCCTTTTCCCATGACTTCTGGATGCAGCATCCTGCTGGAAAAAATCCATATTGCATCCCCACTCTGACCGGTGGTCCCTTAAAAATCGTATGAGATACGAAGGATGAACATTCTGGGACCAGAAAAAGAAAAAGAAGAAAGAAAACAAAAACCAGCCAAATAGAAGTAAGAAGAAAGTAAGAAATCGCGAGTAAACGGTTATGCGTCAAATTTACCTGAAGAAGCATGGATGCCTTGGCACACAATACTCCAGCCAGACTAGACAACCTATCAGACTGAAACTTTGAAAGGCTAAAGTTTATCGTGGCATTGCAGCTGACAGCTACATTGTCCAAGCCATCGCCACCCATAGTGCACCATCCATCGTCTGGAAATCCATTTACAGCGTCATTGAAGCCTCTGTCTCAACAAGAAAAACAAAGAAGTCCCATAAAGAAAGAAAGAATGAAAAGAAACACAAAATGACAGACCTTGCCATGCGCCGGCTGAGAGATCTCAGCACGGAAGGCTGCTGACCGCCACCGACAACAATTTCGCCAATTTCCTCTTGAGCAAGATGCTTTAAGAAGCGCAGTGCCTACAGTATTGTGTATGGGATTTAGCACTTCGAAGTAAGAAAGAAAAAACTTGATTACCTTGACAGTCATCCTCTGTGCAAGGAGAGACGAGGACCTATACAAAGGACGCGTAAGAACCTCAGAGACACTAGAAGGCTGCGAAAAAAAAGAAAAGAGAAAAAGACGAAACTTTACTTTTAGATAATGCGAGTCATTAGCCAGTACCTTTAGATCCAAGTGGTCAATAATGTGTACAATGCAGCTCCCACCTTCGCAAGGACGAACCAGATAGCCACTCGTAAGCATCTCCGCGCGTACAAAGTACTGCGTGGATGGAACGTAGGATAGACATTCTGCATCACTTATGGAGCGCTCACAGACCTGTACAGCGGATAGAATTTCTTTTTCTTTCCATACAAAGAGACAAAAAGGCTGTAGTAATTACCACAAGGTTTCCATCTTCCAAGGACGTGGTCAATCTCAAGGTGCAAAAATCACGAGGAGGAGCAAGCGTCGTCGGAGCATAAAGCTTCGCAAAGAAACAAAAGTAAAACCACTCACAAAGTTAGACTTTGCTCTGTACCTGCGTGTGCATAATCTCCATTGTTGATCCATTCTCGGAAGAGCATATATGGATAACATCCGAGCGTCGGCAGTCCCAAAGCCAAGAGGTCTTATCTTTTAAAACCTCCACAATCTAGATGCCAGAGAAAAAGCCGCGCCTTATTAAACAGAGAAAAGCAAAAGAAACCCTCCACTCACTTACTCGAGTAGCCTCCAGTGCAACCAAACCCAGTGCTCTTGCTGCAATACCATCACATCCGTGTGAAATTGCTACGATGCCAAAAGAATCAGGACCAGGCTGCAAGATCCACATGAGGAACTAGAAAAAAAACTAGAAAAGATTAAAAGAACAACCTTCATCCCGAGCAACTGGATCCAGTCAACAGCAGTACCTGTGGCTTTCGCAAGAAAGTCAGCCAGCGACTGCTCTGCCAATGCCGATAATCTGGAAAAAAAACACCAGGAAAGCGACAATGAGCAACAAGCCAAACGAGGAGATATCGTGTAAAGCTAAAGAAGTACTAAAACTAACCCGACAGGACCATGGTCGAGAGAAAGATGCTGTATGTTTGGAAGTTCGGAGGTTCCAGCAATCTCGGAACTCCCCGCAGCAAGAGCGCCTCCTACCTGTAAACTTGCAAGATCAACAAAGAACACAAGAACAATACTGCATACTTGCGATGCTTCCATCGGCGGCCTCTGGCTGCTGCAATCTCCATAGAGATGCTTCCTCAGCGTGTGCTTTTGCAGTGTAAGCTGCGTGGATTGCTTCGCAAGGTGGTCATTGTTCTCCACAAGGATCTTGTTCAAAGCAGTGAGCTTGGAGTTGAGACCGTGGAGGCGGCTGGTTTCCTTCCTTTGCTTCTCTCGACATCTGCAAAGCATCAAAGAAGGAAACCAAGGAGAATAAAAACCAAGTGTCCAAGAAGAAGAGAAGAACTTTGATCTTCCTTACCGCCGGTTTTGGAACCAAACTTTGAGCTGCTTGGGGGCGATGTTTGCGAGAATGGGAGCTTCTTTCATGAGCTGCTGGCGGCGCAGAGAGCTGGGCTTGGGGCACTCATTGTAAACAAGCTCCAAGATCTCCAGCTGCTCGTTAGTGTACCGGGCGTACTTATTCTGCGGATCCATACAAACTTCTCTCGTCCCTAGAAGCCTACCTCAAGCGTCTACATTGGAGCGCTGCCATCGCCAATCGATCAAAAGGCGAGAAAAAAAAAAAGCGGAGCACGCATCGAATCGCGTCGAAAATGTGAGCGAGCACTCCTCTCAAACCCTAATCATAAGAGGAGTTTTGAATTTGTGACCACAAGCATTTGTGCCAGTGGCGCGCTCTAGTGGGACGCGTGGCAGCTCGTTGTTGGAGAGTGGGTCCCTATCGGCGGCGCCGCCAGCGGCGGAGCTTGTCGGGCGGGCAGAGGCAAAAAGACTGCGGTGTCTTGCCCGCGGCGAACGGGAGGGCGCCACGTGGCGCACGCGGCTATTGGCTGCTGGGCCATCGCATTGGCATCAATCAAACTTGAGCTTTACAACTCAGAGGACGGGCGAACAGTAATAGCAATCACCAAATTCTTGGATTGGGAATTTGGAGTGATTGGATTTTATCTATCTTCCAAGTGATTACTTATTACCTTGAAAGCGAAGCCATGAATTATGGTTAATGATTTTGGGCGATCGATCAAAAGAGAGACAAAGAAGAACAAGGTACAAAGATCAAGCGACCGGGCACGAAAAAATACCCGCTGTTTCCGTTGTTTCTTGATAGTCAAAGTTATCATTTCATGGTGGTCATGATCTCCATTTTTTTTGTTTCATGGAAAGAGAGAAAGTAAACTTCGATTCTTTGCACCGGCCGAGCAAAAAAACTCGCGGCCGATCGAATCGGAGGATGATTTTAGCATGTACATCAAAGAACAAAACCAGAAAAAACAAAAAAGCCAAAACGAAGCTCGAAAGTCGAGAGAGAGAGAGCTTTCTCTTTTTTCGTTTTTTTTTCTTCTCGTTTACCGGGTAGCCAGAAGCCAAAACGCGAAGAAGAACGATGGCGAGACCATGAGCCAAGTGAGGAACGTCATGGCGGCGGCAGTCTCGTACTTGGCGCACTGATTCCCGCAAGCTTTGAGGTCCCGATCGATGAGAACTGCGATTCCAGACGATGCACAGGCAGCAGCGAAAGTTAGAGTCGCAGTAATCTGGAAGGAAAAAAAAGAGAAAGAACGATCAAGAACAAGGAAAGATCTACGTGAACTTTTGGAAACTTTTCTTTACCCAGTCGCCGACCACGCAAAGGCTGAGAAACACGGAGTTTCGCAGGCTGGTGCGCTTGAGCAGGACGGAGAGATCCACGAGAGCGAGCGTTAAACTCCACACGAACTGTAGAACCATGGAAGCGACGAGATAGCTGCTCAAAAGAAAAGACCAAACAACCGAAGATCAAAACACTCCATCCAGCCCAAACTTCGGGAAGAACCAACTTGGAACTTTAGAGCGCTTACCAGAAGGCGGTGATGGTGGAGAAATCCTTGACGCGGATCATGACGCTGAAGGCGCAGGCGGCGAATCCAACTTGGCCGACGCGCAATGCGAGTCCTCCAACAGTGCCGGGCATGCCCTGGAGCTCCTTAATCCTCATCCGGTGCTGTGGAAGATTGGCACCCCCGCCAGGATATATCCCAAACGGATGCACCGCGGTGTGGCTAGCATCCATCGCTCGACCTGCGCGAACCAATCGCGCCGCTTGCTAGCTACCCGAGTGTGTGCCCAATACCTGGCGGGGAAGAGCGAATGGAATGCGCGCCGCCAGCGCCGGTGGAGCGATCTGTGCGTGGCGACACCCTTCACGACGAGTGCGATTCACGGCTCGAGTCCAACGCACCACGCCCTGTCGTTTACGGGTTCGAATCCGGGCAGCTTTGGAATTTTAATTGCCCTAGTATAAAACTAGAAATTTTCCTGGGCGGTTGACAGAGCTTACACATCAACGCCTTTTCTCCATGCCGGATCTTTCCTCCTCTCTTGCACTCGTTCACAGTGTAATCCAAAGGCTGCACATCGCACTCAGGGTTTTCCTCCTGGGGGACCCCAGCAAAAACCCTTCAAATCCACACCTGGAAGAAGAAAATTAAACTTTTGCAAGAAAAGTCTAGTATACCTTGGCCTGTACATTCCTGAAGCTGAGCTTCTATTGGACAATGCATGGGCAGAGCTAGCCCAGAGAAGCAACTGATTAAGCTGGAGCAACTCATGAACCGAATCGGTCGATGGAGCGAATTCCCGTCACGAATTCCTGCCGCTTGTCCTTGCATTCCAGGCCCAGCTTAGCTATGAGCATCATTTGAGCCGCTGGAGATGCAATACCAGCTGCCACAACCATGTCTATCCCGAAAATGAACCTATGATTGTTGGGCCAGCTTTAACAATGGGGATTTTCTGTCACGGCAAAAGAAGACTACTTCGAAAGCTTGAAAGTTTCAAGAGAACAACAGTAAAGCCTTCGTTAAGAGACATGATGCAAAGTCCTTTAGATCGAATGGCCTCATCTTCGCACCTTGCTCTTTTAGAATACGCACCACCTGCGAAACAGGAGGAAGAGATTTTTGCCAAACGCTTTGCCCTCCATCTCTGTATCCTCACCACAAAATTTGCCATCTGGCTGCAAATAAGCCAATGTTGTGCACAGCCGCCACTCCCGACGGCATCAGAACCCCAGCCAGGCGATGATCTCGAGCTGGCTCTCAGGGGAGATGGGTTGACAGGCCTCTCAGGCCAGGCCCAGCATCGTGGCTCCAATCCGGACCCTTGACGCTGATGATCGTGTGAGTGCACGCAGTAGAACTCCCCCAAAACATTCATACACTTTTTCCCACAACCACTTGATCATACTTACTTTGCTTATTAAATTTAATACCAAAAACAGAAAACTAAAAGGTAAAAATTAAAAACTTATCATAGAAATTCAATGTGAACACATGCCCTATATAAATTTTTCAACCCATGTTATAAGAATAAACTAAGTTATTTGGATTTATAATTAGATTTTCACCTAATTGAATATAGATTGAATGGAACAATATTCTTAATACTTTAATTATATTATTTCTTCATTTTTATTTTGTTAACTATATAAAATAATATTATTATTTTTACTTAAGACAGCTAACTAATAATTTCTTAGAAGCTCATAAGTATTTTTATGTCTCAACTTTTCCGACTAATTAAGCAAAACCCAAAACCCAAAACTCAAAATTCTGGTATAAATTGTTATTAAGTTCTTATTATTAACCCTAATATATATAAATATGTATTGATTTTCTATGAATATAAATTTCATTTAATAATATAAAAATATTTTGTTAATTAAGTTCTGGCTCCCATGACCCCCACTGCCACTCCATCACCAAACAAATTTTTAGGACCAAAAATCTTGCTCAAATTGCAGGCTAAATAATATAAAAATTAAGCATTCTAATAAAATATATAAATGTAATCTATTAAATAATTTAATAGTTTAAATGTAAAACAACTCCATATTTATTGAATAATACTGTTAATATAAAATTTATAATTTATAACATTTTTCAAAATAGTTACATTTAAATTGATAATAATAAACACATTTAGTTATCATACATATATTGATATCACTTATCTACTAACTCTTTAAACTTTAACCATAAACATAAATATTAAACCTTGAAAAATGTGCATATCAATTAACATAAAAACTTAGCTTATATACAAAAGCAAGTGATCCAAATTAAAACTAATCCGATAGCTACCAAAATCCCACTATGCTAATATTAATATACAACATTACAGCCATACATTTGAACCTCATGTCATCCCCTCCTTTTGGAATGATGGAAAACTATTAGGGTTTTTTTATGGATTTATAAATGGTGTTAATTGTTCCTAATCCCTTTGTATGAAACATTTCAATTGTTACCACATGAACAATTTCTAGAGGATCAGCTTACTAAATGTTATGTCAAACTTTATAAACTTGCAATCTAATTTGCTGCAACATATAATGTGATCCTTTCCACTAAGCAAGGAGCCCCTTAGATAAATATGTGTGGACCATACTTGAGTTCACAAGTTGAAGAGTTGAGCTTGTGAGTTGAGCTCAAATTTCAATTGTAGTTTAATAAAAATATTATAAACTTTAAAATATTAAGGTTATGGCGAACTTAATGATTTCATAACTCTCTACACATTATATAAATAAAAATGTTCTAAAGGACACTTTTTGTTCTAACATTGTATAGTCAAAGACAGACTTATTCACACATTGCTGAAATTGGAACAAGTTTTACACAAGATATTGCAAAAGAACCTCCTAAGAGAATATGTTTCTGAATGTCTGGAGAAGAGTGTCAAAGTCTTCCTTCTCCTCTACCTCTAGTGTAAGTACTCATCGTCGTATACAACTCTGTATTGATTGAGTGAATGCCTCACACTTAGTTACATTATCCTTGTTGGCATAGTAAGAAGAGAAGGCTACAAGGTGATCTTCCACTAAAATCCTCATTCTTGGCTCAAAGAAGGGGAGTTTGAGACTGTATTGCAACACATGCACTATTGGCATGGGTGGCGGAGGTGGTGGAGGTTGCTACGCTATCCTTTGTTGATTTGCAATTACTGGTTGGTACTTAGGATCTTTAGAAGTGTCTCTAAAAGTGATGGATTTGCAACTTGAGGAAAAATTTGAGATGGGGATACACTATGCTAATCTAGTAACTTGGTATCTGTAGTGGATGGTGAACCCATGCTGTCCAACAAGGTTGTGTGATAATCTAGCTCTTATTGAAGCCTAAAGAACTTTTCATAAATATGGGGAGCCAAAAGAGAACCAAGAACTAGTTACTTTTCTATACTCCTTATGCATACAAGCATGCAATATATAAAGTGTAGCAAATGCCCAGTTATGGGATAAGTTCAAAGGTAACCCCAAGCAAAAATAAACTACTTGTGAGGGTAAAATATTTGTTACACACTCTAGGACACACAAGAAAATAATAAATACCTCAACACTTTCTCTATATAACTCTATACTTAAGAAGTTGTGGAAATTACCTCCTCTTGACTAAATATTGCTTAAATAATAAAGGAATGGGCAAATTGTAAAGGGTATTCACTCACAAACACCCCTTTGAGCCTTAAGATAAGTTTATAACAAAAGACTTCATAACAAAATTAATGAAAGAATAAAATCCTTTCACACAACCTAAACAAAAAAACACCTTAGCAGAAAATATGCTC